GAAGATCCTGGAGCTGCTCAATCCAAGCAGCTGGAAGTTCCACAATGGGAGAGATCAAGAATGCAGTACTAGGCTGAGAATGGAAATCTGGTAAGTAGCTGGCATGAGTCTGCATTGAAAGACTGAAGAAACTGGAGTCTGATATTGACAAGGGATGGCAGTACTACTACATGTACCAGGTTAAGCAGAATGGAGCTTTCCAAATGCCCTCTGCCCATGCACATGAAAAATATCCATCTTTATGAACACCTTCCACTAGAATGGTACTTTTATTACAGTTGAGGAATCTACACGTTTGACACATAGTCATCACCTAAAGTCTAGAGTTTGAATTAGTGTTCAATTTTTTTCTTTTTTTGGTACCAGGGACCAAACTCGGGACCTTGCACTTGTGAAGTAGGCGGTGGAACCACTGAGCTAAATCCCCAGCCCTAGTGTTCACTCTTGGTGTTATTACATATTCCATGGATTTAGACAAATGTTTAATGACATTTATGTACTATTAGGTATCATAGGGAGTAGTTTCACTGTCCTCTAAATTTTCTTTGCTTCACCTGTTAATCCTTCCTCTCCCCTAGCTTCTGGAAATACCTGATCTTAACTGTTTAGATACTTGTACTTTTTCAGAATGTCATATAGTTGGAATGATACCATAAATAGCATTTTCAGATTTTTTTCACTTACTAATATGCTTTTTATTTTTCCTCCATATCTTTTCATGGCTTGAAAGCTCATTTCTTTTAAGCATTGAGTAATATTCCATTTTCTAAATGTACCACATTTCATTTACCCGTTTACCTATCACAGCACATCTTACTGCTTCCAGGTCTTCATGATTATGGGTCAAGTTATCACTGCCTATGATAGGTTTTGGTGTGGATATAAATTTCCACTCCTTTGGGTAAATACTGAGGGATGTGATTGCTGGGTTGTATGCGAGTGTTTATTTATTTATTTATTAGTAGAAGTAGGCTATCTTGCTTTTTATTCATATTCATTCTCCCTTTCCCCAGTCCACCTTCTCCCACATTTGTGATTTTCTCTATATTTTTGACTGTTTCACTGAAGTCGGTGAGAATGTAATACGTAAACGTATGCAGATGATAAGCATATCCTGGGGGACTGTGTTTGGTTTTGTAGAAAGTCACCAGACTGTCTTTCAGTCTTTCACCTGACTTTACATTTTTATTCCCTCCAGCAGTGAATGAGAGCTCCTGCTTCTTCACATCCTCCCCAGATTTCAGTGTGGAATGGGATCTCACTGCCCTTTTACTTTGCATTTCCTTGCTGACATGTGGTGTAGAGCATACTTCATATCCTTAGTGCCATCTATATATTTTGGCTGAGCAGCTAAAGTTTTTGACACATTTTTGATCTGGTTATTTTCCTATTATTAGTTATTAGTAGTTCTGGGTAACAATCCTTTATCATATATGTCTTTGACAAATACTTCCTTTTCCTCCCAGTCTGTGGCTGGTCTTTCAGTCACTTGATAGTCATTATAATGGGTGTTGAAGCCAGGACCTTTGCACTCAGTGCCATCTGTAGGCTTCCTTTTTTTTTTTTTTGGAACAGGGTCTTGCTAAGTCACTAAATTGCCTAGCTGTGTAAACTTGTGATCCTCCTGCTTCAGCCTCCCAGAATTCTGGATTACAGGTGTGCACCACTATGCACAGCTAGTGTCATTCTTAAACAGATAATTTTTAAAATGTCTTTTGCTTTCTTTTCTCGTCTAACGTCACTGTTAAGAGTTTTAAGTTGAGAAACAGTGATGAAAGTGGTCTTCCTTACTTTGTTTTTGGTCTTAGAGGGAAACTTTGGTGTCACACCACTAAATATAAGCTATAAGGGTCATTTTTGTTCATTTTTTATTAAGTTGAGAAAATTCACTTCTATTTTCAGTTTAAGAGCTTAAAAAAATACCATGAGAGAACTAGATTTAGTCAAGTGCTTCTTCTGTATTTATTGATAATAGTATTTTTTTCCTTTATTTTATTGATGCAATAGATTATACGGATTGATTTCTTAGTGTTGAGCCAGCCCCATGTACCTGGGATTAATTCCCTTTGGCCATGGAGTATAATCCTTTTTACATTCTTTGATTTGACTTCTGCTATTTTTTTTTTTTTTTCTGGTACTGGAGACTGAACTCAAGACCTTGTGCTTGCGAGGCAGGCATGGTGCCACCAAGCTAAATCCCCAGACCTTCTGGTAATATTTTTTAGAGGATTTTTTAAATGTATACTCATGCAGATATTCATTTATAGTTTCTTTTCTTGTATTGTCTTTGTCTGGTTGTTGTGTTAAGGTAACTCCCCTGTCACAGAATGAATTAGGAAGTACTCTCTCTGCTTGCATCTTCTAAAAGATTGTACAGAATTAATATAATTTTTCTTCAAAGATTTGGTAGAATTCACCAATGAATGTATTTGATTTTGGTGCTTTTTTTGGGAAGATTATTAGTTATTGATTGAATTTCCTCGATAAATATAGACCTATTCGGATTCATTATTTCTTCCTGTGTGAGATCTAGCAGATTGTTATCTTTCAAGGGCTTGTTGTGTTTCACCTGGGTTATAATATTTATGGGCATGGAGTTATTCATAATATTCCTGTGAGCCTTTTAATGTCCATGGAATCTTTAGTGATGTTACTTATTTTATTTAAAACATTACAAGCTTTCACCTTCTCCTTTTTTTCTTAACTAGTCTGGCTAGTGGCCTACTAGATTTTTCTTTCCAAACAACCAGCTGACATTTTGTTGATTTTCTTTATTGATTTCCTGTTATCAGTTTCTTTGATATATGCTTTAATTTTATTAATTATTTCCTGCTTCTTTGAATATAATTGGCTTTTCTAATTTATCAAGTCTAAACTAGAGTTTCAAGGATGGATTTTAAATCTTTCTTCTCTGATATATATATTCAATACTCTAAATTTCCCTGTAATACTTTTTTACTTATCCTAAAATTTGAATTATATTTTTATTTTTATTTAGCTCAGAGTTTTTAAGGTTTCTTCTTTTACCCATGCATTATTTACATGTGTGTGTGTTCTAATCTGATTTTCAGTCACTTTTATGTTATTCTTTGCTAATTTAACTCCAGGAGTTCTGAAAGCAAATACTGTATTTTGATTTCTGTTCTCTTAAATTTGCTAAGATGTGATTCCTGGTTTAAAATGTGGTTTATTTTGGGCAAATCAAAGTTCAGAGCAAGGAATGATATGAGAGATAAAGAAAGCAACTGTCCTCATGAATTCTGTCCAAAATTAACATAATGACTTCTGCCTGATTTTGCCACAGTTCATGTAAACCTGGGACTTACATACGTTCTGCTGTTGTAGGACGGAGAAGTCTGCAGATGTCAGTTACATCCAGTTCCTGGATGGTTTTATTGAATTCTGCTATGTCTTGTCTGATTCTGTGCATTCTGGATTTGTCCATTTTTGATAGAGAAGTGCTGACCTCTCCATCTATAACAGTGACTCGTTCTATTTGTCCTTATATTTATGATGAATTTTTATAGACGACATATAGGCAGATCTTGCTTTTTGATCCATCCTGATACCCTGATAAATTGGTGCATTTGATGTTCAAAGTGACTTCTTGTATACTTGTTTAATATCTGTTATAGCTATTATGGTTTTCTGCTTGTTGCCCATGCTTTTCTTCATACATCTTTCATTTTTCTCTGCTTTTTGTTGTTTTATTTTCTTCTTGTCATGATTGAGATACATTAATTATGCAAATCGCTGGGTTCATCGTTATATTTTCATGCATGTGTACCTCAAGCATTGATCATGTCCGTCCATGCTTCTGTCAGCTTAGTCGACTGAACCTGTTCCTGCAGCACTAATATGATCATTTTTACTTTCAGGTCATCGTTTCACTCTCATATGACAGAGGACAAGCAATATTTCTCTTTCTGTGGCTTATTTCGCTTAAGACGGTGTTCTCCAGTTCCATCCAACTCTCTGCGTACTAAGGATTTTATTTTTTATTACTGGATGATACACCATCGTGCAAATTTTTGTGATTTTAACTGAACATTTTTATATGATTTCACTTTCTTTATTTATATTTAGCTTATCAGTTACACTGATTTTTTATTTTCATGGTTTTTCAGCACGCATTTAGAGTTAGTCCAACTCTGCTTTCAAATAAAACTATACTATGTCATGGGTAGTTTGAGTACCTTATAGTAACAAAATCATCCCAATTCTTCCTTCTTATTCATTGCATTATTGCATTAAAGAAACCTAAAGAAGGCAAGGGATGTAGCTCAGTGTTGCCTGACAAGTACAAGGTCCTGAGTTCAGAAAAAAAAAAAATCCTAAAATACAGCAATTTCTTTAGAAACCATGTTTGAAGGTGACTAGGGCTATCTTGATTATAAGAAACTCTATAAAACTGGAGGAAAGAAATGCATGTTAGTGTCAGGAACTATGGAACAAGAAAGTTGGAATAGGTACGAATCCACATCTCTGTTCCTCAGATTGTACATATTTTTTTCTTTTCTCTTTCAAAGTATGAAAAATAAGGAAGGAAGAGACATGCATGTCTTCTTCTCAGTTCTGATTGTAACATTCTTGAGAAAAGGCAGTATTTTGTTTACCTGGATGCCCACCTTTGCTCCAAAAAACTTTAATGAGGGAGTGAAGCTGGAGAAAGGAGCTTAATCAGACCAACTGGGAAGAGGGCTCCTCTCAGCAGACACTCCTGTGGGGAAGGGTGAGGGAGGGGGGAGGGAGAAGCAAGTTTACCTTGTTGACCAAATTAGATGTTTCCTAAGTAGGAAATCATTGATTAATACTTTATGAATTTAGTTTTCAAGATATTAACATATTTTATCCCTCAATAGCATATAACATTTTTGCAGTCAAATTTTAATTACCTCATTGTCTTTTGAGTGAGACTTTGAGAAGAAACAGTGGATTCCACTCACTCTATTAGAGTATTAAAAATTAACTTCACTTGCTCTTTCCTGAATATTTTCTAGATTCAGCTAATTCATGTGTGAATGGAGAGCAGGTGATAAAGAACAATTCCTCCACCCTTACAGAAGGTAATACACTTTCGTATCTAGTGGGCAGCATCGAAGGGATGGAGGGTTGACCTTTGTTAGATACAGCAGCTGATGCCCTGTCTGAAGCCCAGCCCTCTGACTACTTGAAGAACATGTTGGTCTGAGTGCTTGGTATATGGGTCTCTGAAAGACCCACTCTCCAGATGTTCCCCGTACAGTCTTGCTTGCTTCTGAACATTTGCCTACTTGGGATAGTGGCAAGATACGTTCAAGTCCTACCTCTGTCTTCATCTAGTTACATGATCTTTCTCTGGCCATGAAATACCAGGGTTTGGCACCCAGATGAGATAAGTGACAATAAAACAGGAAAGGAGAAATATTCAGTAAAGCATTTGGCAAAATCAAGGTTCATTACAACATGTCTGCAAAACCATAGGTGGTTTTGTTCCTATTAAAGTGACAACATCACTGATCTTCACCTTTGCCAGGAGCGAGTTGTGACAGGTGTTTGGTTCAGTAATCACCTGCCTCAAGCCCCTAGCAGTCACAGACATCTTATGTCAGTTTGTGGGGAGCATGAGGTTCTGGGTTGGAAGAGGCTTGTAGGTTACAGGGCTTAATCTTTATTTTAAAAGTTGAACACAAAGGGTCCATTTGTAAATTTAATGCAAATAATTAGATTGAATATAGGAACAAAATTGATGAGAAAATTCACAGATGAACTGTTTGGTAACATACATGTGACTAAACAAAGGAAGAAAAACTTCTGCAAAAGTTACTCGATAGTATCAAACATTTTGTACAAAATTATTTTTAGAGAGAAGTATGTGCACCCATGTTTATAGCGGCACAGTTTGTAATAGCTAAATCTTGGAAACAACCTATTTGCCCATCCGTTGGAAACTGGATAAAGAAGATGTGGTTTTTCTATAAAATGGAATATTACTCAGCCATAAAGAGCGAGAGAATAGATTCATTCATAGGAAAATGGATACATATTGAAGATATACTCCTAAGTGAAATAAATAAGTCCCACATGTGTAAATACCAAATAGTTTCCCTGGTGTGAATATTCTGCAACAATGCATAAGATTCTAATAAGATTACTGACATTTAGAAAT